TTAGGAACGGCCCGTTCTGGACTACTAAATCACCCCCTAAAAATTACTAAATTACCCTCAATAAAAGTATAAAAATTGGGGTGTTACAAATATTATGATATATGTACCGCCCATTAATATCCAAGTATAAAAAAATATTTGCATCTTTGAATTGCTCGTATCCATTTACAATATCCATTCTTTATCCATAATAAATTTAATCCACAAATACCTATAATTAAAAATATTTTTGACATCTCTAATCATGTCTATATGCACACCACTAGTGCAATTAATGAAGGTTATTATCCCCCACATAGTAAATGGTTTTAATCTCTTTAATATATTGAATAAATAAATTTTTTTCCATTGTTATTTTCTTTCTTAGAAGTGATGGAATCATGCCAAGGCTAAGAAGACCAAGAGGTGACACATTGAAGGACCCAAGAGAAATGGGTTAGTTTTGAAGACAGTACGAGGATTGGGCCTTGTGACACCCTCTACCCCGCTTACCATAACACATAAATAATAAAATTAGAATAACATAATCCTTCATTATTAAAAATGCCAAATATGATCAGATAGAGAGCACCACATCCATAACTTAAACAAATAACATAATTAGTGGAAGTTACAAAGAAATAAAACTAAAGTTTTCAAAATAATTTAATAGAAATAACACCCTAATCTAATCCTATCTACGCCCCGATGTCACATGTCCTATCAGAGCAAAGCCCACATAGAAGCCTAAGCTTCATCACCAACATCCTCAGCCTCATGCTAATAATCACCTATATAACGGTCAAAAGAAAGCAACACAAAGAAAAGGGAGTGAGAAACATCTGACTCTGGCTCACAATGTAGGAATATACACCAGATAGCCAAACATAAACAAAACATATATAACATAGATAAATTAATAATAATATCACATTTCAATCATCCAAGACATTAATTTTTCATATAACATTAAAATGCATATGTATGGACACGGACTACATTTTATCATCCATGTGTCGCCTGAGGAGAAGAAGAGGTTTTTAGAGAGAAGAACTCTAAATTAAGAAGCTTGCTTTGGGTGGATTGAAGTTCCGGGTTGAGCTTCGGAAAGGGAATTCCGCTTCTTGGCTATTTTGAGCCAATCTTCAGGTAAGGGAAGCTAGATTGTAAATTTGTTGCTAATACAATCTAAATTGGAGAATTTTGATTGATTAATTTGGACTATCAGATTGATTCAGATTTGAAAAATGATGTGTATAACTCAAATTGTGGTCAAAATAGTGAGTAGATGTCAAGTTGTCGGGATTTATGGTGTCCAGCGTGGGTATTCTATATTTTAGTTTGCATTTTTTACATTTTGGGACTCCCTTTTTGGCATGTTTGTGATAATTTATGATTTCTTAGTGATGATTTATAATACTTATGATATGATTAAATAATTTTGAGGTTGGATTGTAAAATATGATATTATATTATTAAAGATTGATGTGTATGAAGAGGTTGTGCAAGATATGTGTATGACTTATTATTTTATGTGGAAATGTTGGTTGTGTATGTACATGTAATGTGGAATTGAATTATGAATTGTGATGTGATGATTGGGCATAGTCGTATGTGTGACACCGGGCCATAAGGGCCTCCACATGATACAATGTTATTTATGGGTTGTTGTGGGCATGATCTTATGCGTGATACGGTACTAGATGTGTGGTGTGTTAGGTATAGTCGTATACGTGATATTGGTGCTAGTAGTGGAATGCATTAGAACAGTCAGGTGCCTAACACGATGTTGGACGTATGATGCGTCAGTAGGGGTGTGTACGTGATTTGGTGCTAGATGTGTGACACGATGTATATGTGTAATTTATTTATATGTACATATGTGAATTGTGATGAGATGATGAAATCTGTGTGTTTATGGATTATATCACTTTGATATTGTTTTGTGAAATTTCGTGATGTGCTTTCAATATAAATATCTTCTTTTAGGTGAGGAAGATGTGGACATGAGTGACATTCAAAGTGCTAATAATTGAGTCATGTAAGTGCTCTGATAGTGTAACATTGGGGCAATGGTCTTCTAATAGGACTTTAATTTTTATTGTAATTGGTGTTTTTACATTTCCTTTGAAACTATTTACAAACTTATTTCTTTTTAAACTTTATTTTAAATTAATCGGATATTGAAAATGTATTTTCTTTTAGAGATGTGAACCATTTTACCCGTATTAGAGTAACATTTCTTAACATTATTTTATATATGTATTGGGGTAGAATGAGTGTCACAGTGGTCATGGATCTGATCCAATTTAAAGATCAAATGAATTTAATACAATCTAAATTGGAAAATTTTGATTGGTTAATTTGGACTATCAGATTTGAAAATTGAAAATTCAATCAATTTAGTTCGATCTCAGATTTTGATTTTCAAAAATCAAATTGATCCATCCAATTAAATTATTATTATTATTATTATTATTATTATTATTATTATTATTATTATTATTATTATTATTATAATTATAGATTATCAAATTTGGGCTACTAGTAAAATATAAAGAAAAGATAATAATCCATTCAATTTTTTTTTGTTTAAAATCGATCTATTCATTTAGTACCAAGGAAAAGAAAATAAAAATATTTTTTTTTACTTGTCTCATTGAGTGTCTATCATTTGTATCAATTATATATAAGAGTTTTTGTGATGTTGAACATAACACTTAAGATATTTTATTAAGTTTATAATGTTGATGATGACCGATAAATATGTATATTGTAGTGTTGGATAGGTTCAAGTTTTAATATGACGATGTTTATTACTTTTTAAGTTTGATATTTAAAATATTTAAAATAATATTTTATAATGTTGATAAAAATATTTATAATATTAAATATTTTATCCATTAATTACATGAAAAATATATTTTACAAGTTATCTAATGTAATTTTTAAAATTTCTTATTTTACTGATAATGTACGAATCTAATCAAAACCAAATGTAATTAAACCATATTGATTGAAATTAAAAACTAAAAAAATTCAACTAAAATTAATCGAATCAAATTAAAACATACATCAAATTCAACGTATGGAAACTCCTATATATATATATATATATATATATATATATATATATATATATAAATATGGTTAATGTTGGAGAATTTATGGCACTTGATTATTATTTTGGATTTAAGTGTAAAATGTATAATTTTAATAAATATTATAAAAAAATCATTATTTATAATATTTTTTATTAATTAAAAAATTAGTTAAAGGATTATAAGTATTAGAATTAAAGTTAAATTTATAAAATCATCTGGTAATCGAATATAAGGTTTTAGTAATTGATTACAAGTTTCACAATCTAAACAACTATTTATTCTTTTCGTTTTTCCTCGTGTAACCGTTTCGAATAAATTGTTTTAATTTTCAAATTATATTTATGCATTACAGTTTCGGAGTCTATTGTCCTTTTCTTTTTGGTGGAGTATATCACACTGAACTCAGTCCGTGCGTATTGGGTAGTTTGGTCCAATCAA